GGAGACGGAGCTTGCAATAAGCCGAGATAGCGCCACTGCACTCCAGCCTGGGTGACAGAGCAGGACTCCATCTCAAAAACAAAAAGAAAAGAAAAAAAAAGAAACAACACTCCAAGGCTGAGTGTGGTGCCTCAAGCCTGTAATCCCAGCACTTTTTGGGAGGCTGAGGCAGGAGCATCACTTGAGCTCAGGAGTTTGAGACCAGCCTGGGCAACACAGGGTAACCCCATCTCTACCAAGAAGAAAAGAATTGAAAAGAAAAAAGAAAGGAAAAGAGAGGGAGAGGGAGAGGGAAAGAAGAGAGAAGACAGAGGAGAGAAGAGAGAGAAGGGAGGAGGAAGGAGGGAGGAGGGATGAGAGAGGAGAGAAAAGAAACGAAATGAAACCAAAGGAAAAAGAAACAACACTCCAGTAGCGATGAGCAAACCTATTGCCCAGATCTTGGTTTCTAAGCCCATTCCCCAACGAAAGGAAGGAGAGCTCCTTAGAGAAATGTCTACTTCTAGGACTGAGGCAGGAAATATACAAGATGAGCCAAGAATATTTGTAGTATCAAAAGTAAGGAAGTGATAAAAACAAATGAGCGCACGTTGATGGGGGTTATCAAAGAAGCCACCTCAAAGAATTCCCAAGGGCCAAAGCTGGAACAATTTGAGCAACAAAATAAAGTAGTCAAGGCTTATAACCCAAATTACAAAATAAGTATCCATGACTCCATATTGATCTGAATGACTGAATAAATTAATAAATGGGAGAGAAAAGACAAAGAATTCCAAATAATCTAGATAGCCCCTTTACCCTAAAGGAGGAGAAACGGCACACGCTACTCTAAGTGTGGGCTGCATAGAGAGACTTTTTCCAAAGATTACAGTATGGAAAGGATGAAAAAAAGAGTAATTCTTACAGTGGAGAAACCTGACAAACAGTACACTAGGCAGGTCACCAACATTAATGTCAACAGTTATAAATCGAGTTGATAGAATGTACCCTCACTGTGATATGACGACAATGGCCCTTCACCGCTGTGACCTTACCCCACAAACACATAACCCCAATCTTTTCACAAGCAGAATATCAGACAAATTCCAGGAGAGGGGAATCCTTACACTATACGTGACCAGAACTCCTCAAAACTCTCAAGGTCGTCAAAATCAACGACCGTCTTTTGGGTTTTGTTGTTTTTTGTTTTATTTCGTTGTTCTGTTTTTTTTCGAGACAGGGTCTCACTCCATCATCCAGGCTGAAGTGCAGTGGTGCGATCACTGCTCACTGCAGCCTGGACCTCCCAGGCTCAGGTGATCCTCCCACCCCAGCCTTCCAGGCAGCTGGAACTACAGGCACATGCCACCATGGCCCAGCTAATTTTTTGTATTTTTAGTGGAGATGTGGTTTCACCAGGTTGCCCAGACTGGTCTCAAACTTCTGGGCTCAAGAGATCTACCCACCTCAGTCTCCCAAAGTGCTGGGATTAAGGTGTCAGCCACTGTGCCTGATTTCTAAAGTCTTAGAAACCATTATGGCCAAGAGAAGTTTAATGAGAGTTGATAACTAAATGTAATATGGTATTACAAATGAGATCCTGGAACAAAAAAAAAAAAAATGACATTAACGGAAAATGAAGGAAATCTGAATAAAGTATAGATTTTAGTTAATAATCATGTATCAATATCGTTTCTCCAATTAAAATGAATTTACCATACTAATGTAAGATGCTAATAACAGGGGAAACTAAGGCAAGGCATATTGAAACTCTCTCTACTGTCTTCATAGTTTTTCTGTAATTCTAAAATTGCTCTAAAAAATAATCTATTAAAAAAATTTAATATAATCAACAGATCATTACAGCCAAGGAAGAGCACACAGAACATACATATAATGCTGAATTATGATAGAGGGAATATTAAAAATATACATGGAAAGAACAGACTATTGAATAAGTGATCTGGGGATTACTTGGTGGGCCACATGAAAAAATAAAATCAGGTGAGATTAGACTCTACTGCCACGCTCCACATACAGATTGCAGTTGGATTACAATTTCAAATGTGTAAAAACAAATCTTTAAAATAACTACTAAAAATCTTAGAGAATATCTTCATAATCCTGGCATAGGAAAGTCCTTCTTAAGCAGAAGAAAAGTAGCACACAAATCAATACAGAAAAGATTGATTTGACTACAAAAAAGTTTTCAACTATTATAGAAGAAATGTTATTATTTAAGGAATAAAAAGGACAAATGATTGACCAGAAGAAATGGTGTTCAACCTATAATGGCTCAAAGGATTAATATACAAAATATAAATACATTCTGCACGTAAATTAGAAAATGATAAACCAGTACAAACAATGGGGAAGAGATATGAATAGATGAATCATAGAGGAATGGCAATGAAACAAATGAAAATACGCTAGCTATCAGTAGTAATGCACATTTCACACTTAAGAGTTCATGTTTTTCCCAACAGATTGGTAAAACTTATAAAGATGGACAATATTCAATATTGCCAAGAATGTAGGGGAAAGGATCTTTAATACCCTGACCGTAGATTATTTGGTGGTTTAACCACTCCGGAGGACAATTTGACATCATTAAATGTGTACATCTTCCCTTCCAAAAAAATTTACAAAAGGAGCAAAACCAGGCTTTCGTTAACAGCAATATGGTTCACTAAATAGCGATATGATGGAAAAGTATGCATTAGTTTAAAAGAATGAGATAAATATATAGATGTATAGAGAGATTATAGATAAACATGTGTAAACACACAAACACTTTTCTATATTTAACATGGAAATCTCTCTCCAAGAATATAGTTTGGTGTAGAAAAAAAGTTGAATAATAATAAATAGGGCATAACAAAATCTGTGACTAAAAAGAAAAGGAAAACAGACTCAAGAACCATGTATTTATGACATATACATGCAAGTACTGAATGAACAGGAAACTCTTACAGGCTACTTATCAAACGGAGAAAAAACAATGACATCAGGGGAAAGCGGCATGTTTTTATGTATTACTTGTATAATAAGATTTTTTTTTTCTTAGTGAAATAAGCAAGAAGGGAAAGAAGAAGTAGTAAAAGTTTTACACGAAATGTGTTTTCCCAAATGAGCAATCCATGTATCTAGGCTGCTGTTAGTCGGGTGCCTTGCTCCTGTGGCACCAGGGTCTGAGTCTAACTCTGTTCCCCTGGAAACCTGATAACAGGATGACATCAGCCATACTGCTAAGCAACGCTGCTTAGGGGAAAAATGACCCCTGACTGGCCAGTTGCAAACACCTGATGCATACGCCGTACTTTGCGGCTTCTGTAAATGCAGAAACTCTTGTCTTCTGTGCTTCGCTCAAACCTTGTGGGGAGATAAGGTCGAAAAACATCATAAAGCAAGGTGTCATTCAGATTGGCACTTTAGATTTGCACTAAGCGAGCTGGCTGTGTGTGGAAAAGCCCTTTTTAAATTCTTGATAGCCTATGCTATTTTTCATGACTGACACCTAAACTGCCTTATAAACTATAAATACTCCATTTTAATCCTCCTTCAAGTAATATGTGAGCAACAATATTTTGCATTCAATTAAACTAAGGCATTTGGGGTGAACAGCAAGGTTTAAAACATATTCATTACACAACTGTTGTAAATTTATGGTTCACATAAATTTTATCCATAATTTCCCAAAGCACTATGGAAAGTTAAATCATTCATTTTTATAAAGTAGAACACAATGTGGGACTATATAAAACCTAAAAAGAAGAAAAAAAATTCCAAAGGGTCTGACTTCCAAGTTAAGGTCTTGAGAAAGAAAAGCTTTACGTAATTTAACAATCAAACTTCTTGCTGACAAAAACGAATCCTCAGTGTAAATCACAACGGGAAAAAAAAAATCATTCTTGATAGATAAAGATGAGACAAAACAAAACAAAACAAAAAAAAGACAAGACAAAACTTGCTAACATATAACTATGGATATGCCCGAAATGGCAAAGAATTACATTTGCAAATAGTGCAAATGAAAATGCCAGTGTAACATAATACAAGATAAAACTGAATTTGTGTTTTGGCGTTTTTGAGATTACAGCACCAGTCATTGTAATTGTCCCGCCTGAGACAGTCATCTCGGCTGGTTAGAGAGCTATATCAACCAAATTCAGGATGGCCCCATATAAAACAGAGAACATTCCTTTTCATCATACTGTGTTATCACTTCTTTCAAGGGGCTTTAAAAATGCATGACAGAGGCCCCCAACCCCATTTACATTTTGTTTTAGTAGTTCTTAGAGGCATCCAGGATTCTACACTTTGAAAAAGTGCTGATTCTGGTCCAGAATAGGACCTCAAAGAGGCATCTACCACCACACTTCTACTTCCCTGAATCAGATCAGAAGGGAAGGATTTTATGTACACATGCGTGCATGTGAGTTTTTTTTCCTTTCTTAGAAATATCTACTGTAGGTATCTCAAAGTCTTATAACTGATAATAACATGAAATGTTTGTTAGTTTTAACTGAATCCCTTAATGATATAGATCAATTTCAGGATAGTTTTACCTCTGGTGACAGAGAGAAAACAGAGAATTGGGGTAAGGATAGTGGTTTAATTCTTAAAGAAAAAAAGAGAAAAATCAGAATCAAGTGTGGCAAACAGTTCCTACCTGTTATACAACTGAGTGAAGGACAATATGGGTATCACAGTATTTGCCATACTTTTCTGTAAGTTTCAAATGCTTAATTTTTAAAATTAAATGCACAGAATTATTCTAAAAGCAAGACAGTACGAGAGCATCAGCACACGCTATCACTACCTGGAGAAAGAGGCAGGGAGTCCATGTCCTCCAGTAACTTTTACCTAGGAGGGCATCCCTGAGTTGATCTCATGCCCCTAGAGTTGGTGACAGAGAAACAAGTATGATCTGCCTGAATGCTTAAAGCAATGTTGCATTTCACTGTGAACAAGATTTAAGCAAAGATGGAATAAGAACTGCCCCTCTTGGGGTCACATACCGGTGTCACTCCCAGATCCTGTTGACAAAGCTGGCATGATGCAAGGTGTAGGAACAGGTCAGCCGACCGCTCTCCAGACACCCTGCCCTCAGACAGCCACAGGGAATTCCAATTCAACAGCCTGCAGCCACGTTGTCTACCAAGATCTGTATATTTTGTAAGCCGTTTCTGGAAAGGAAAGAAACATTTACCTTTTTTAAAAAGGGACCGTCATCAAATCACAACATTCTGTAACTAATTCAAAATTCTCATCCCAATCACTATTGGAGACATCACAACTCTTCAGAATTTTTTCTACAGACCACATGCAAACACGAACTGTGAGTTTCTCGTCTTGATGAGCAACTTCTGATTGGAAGCGCGAATATTCTGAATGTGTGTGTTGAGGCTTCCTTAAAGATTTTTACATTTGGGTTGTGGAACACTGACTGGATACATGGATAATTTTAAGAAGCTTCTGTAAGTCAATGCCATTCTCAACTTCATTCCCTGTGTTACCGTAATTCTCAGCTATATTTCTAAACATAGAACAGAGACTATATAAATTGTCAGAAACTTATAAATAATTTTTTTTTTTTTTTTTTTTTTTGATACAGAATCTTACTCTGTCACCCAGGCCAGAGTACAGTGGTGCGATCTCGGCTCACTGCAACCTCTGCCTCCCGAGTTCAAGCAATTCTCCTGCCCCAGCCTCCTAAGGAGCTGGGATTACAGATGCCTGCTGCCAAGCCTGGCTAATTTTATTTTTTTATTTTTATTTTTTTTTTAAATAGAGACGGGTGTTTCACCATGTTGGGCAGGCTGGTCTTGAACTCCTGACCTCAAGTCATCCGCCCGCCTCGGCCTCTCAAAGTGCTGGGATTACAGGTGTGAGTCACCGCACCCAGCCTAATTGTATTTTTTTTTAAATAGCTCATCCTAATATGACAAATGCATGGTTCTCTAACTGAAGTCTGCAACTAACCTTGAAGGAATATTTACTAGAATGGAAGCAAGATGTTATTATAGATTTACAGAATTATTATAGATTTACAGAAATGTTAGTAATCCAAAGTAAATCTAACAATCCAAGCTAGCATACACAAGTAAATTCTTTTAGTAAAAACTAACCTTTGTTGTATCTGGAAAAATACTAACTTTTTTCAGTAACCATCTTAACTAGTGTTTATCCTCGGATAAGCGGTAAAGGCAGTATAGCATATTAGTTAAGAACAAGGGATCTAGAGTTTGACCCAATCTTTAATGCTGCTAGTTCTGTGATCTTCAGCAAGGAATTTCATCTTCTTAAGCCTTAACTTCCTTATACGCAAACAGAGACATGAGTAAATTAGAACTGTTCGGTAATTAAATATACTCATGTAATGCAGTGTCTGACACATGGTAAATAAACAAGAAACACTGGTTGTTAGGGTTTTTTTAATTCAAGTAATGAGATTATAAAACGAAAACATAAAAGAAAGTAGCAAGATTAAAATTTACATTGGCCTAACACCTAGAGGGAGGCCATCTGGTTTAAATTTGGATCACCCCTGGCTAATAATGGAAAAAGTACCCCATTTACATTTTTGTAGAAATCAGAAGAACCACACAATGTGTTTTCAGTTCATTTTTAACGCACTTTCCTCAATTCTCTATAAAGCAAATTCAGTAATTTAGAAGCATATTTTTAACATATATTAACAACAACAAGAAAACATTGGAAACACTGGAAAAACTGGTTCACATCAATTCTTAAAGCCTTTAACGTTGCTGATTCAAATTGCAGAATAAAGAGAAATGAACTTGCCAAATTTTACTTTAAAAAATCCAAACTGTAAGATTCTATTAAAGCCTTCTAAATTTGTTTTTTAATTGTTAAAGTGAAAATTAGTATTAAAAACTTCACCATCAAAGGGATTATTTTAGATCAGACTATCTGCTGCAATACCTTGAATTTTACTTTATGTTATTGCAAAGGCTGACATAGTTAAAACATGCACACACATCCATACAGAAAAGAGTGCTAATTTAAAATATGAGAATTGTTATTTGAAATACCAAACGAAAATAGAGCTAAGTTAAAAATTAAACATGTGAGGCAAGATTTCACTGATGCACATGTATGGAGCTGTTTTTTCTAATAATTTTGAAAGCAACTTTGCTTTGCCTTCACAAATTATTCTAAAAATCAGGATGAAGATTCAACTACAGGAGAATGTTCCTTGTATAAAGCAAGGCTAGAAATTAAGTAATTCAAAGTCAAAAAAAAAAGACTGTATAATTTAAAGAACACAGTCAATTAGTAGACTTTTGTTTTGCTAATAGAAAAAAACGAAAATCAATTAAAATTTCTAAAATGTCTCCAGACACATTTGTACCATTAGGCCAATATATATGTATGTATGTATGTGAGTAGGTATTTATTATATGTGTGTGTGTATATATGGAATGTAAGGTCTTTATGTCATGAGAAAAGCCTAAATTCATATGGTATGGACTGCACATATGCTATACCATCTATACCATGCAAACTATCACTTTCTTCACAGCTTAAAGAACTTACAATGTTTCACGTTTATAAACCACACACACCATATAATAAGACAACATATGCTTATATCAATTAGAATTTCATATAATTTGAAACATTCATATTCCATTAATACTGAAGACCTTACATTCCACATCAAAACATCCTTTTGAGCTGCTATTGGTGCTGTTCATCTATGCCACATACGAAAAGCCCTCGCATTTCTTGTTTTTATTTCATAATGAACACTCAAGGTTAAATTTTTCCAAAGCTGTGTTATTTACTACAAAGCAATTATCTTTTAAGTATATATACTACAAAGTAATCACCTCCTCAGACCATATACGAGTACATGAATTCTAAAACTGGTTTGACAGAATCCTAACCAGTAATACTTTGTATTTTGTGGAATGAAGCAAAGTTGCTAGGTTTAACTTTCAAACTGAGTTAAATTTTTGTAGTAATGATGTTAGTTTCTTTGGCGAAATTCATTGAAAATGCTTTGGAATTTGTCGGAATGCAGCCATAATTATTACTGACTGTTGTATGGAATCGATTTACTACAACACAAAAATACCAGCTGTTACAGAATGTCCTGAGAGGGATTACCGAATATTCTTAAATTGAAGTTCAATCCATCTTTCCATAAAAAAGAGAAAGACCCAAAAGTCAGGAACATAACAGCAGTATCAAGTGCACCTGAAGCATTTACAATGCCCAATAGAACGATTACAACCCTCCTTTAAAAGGGCTTATTTTTGAAATTTCATTATTCCAGTTGTACCTTGCTTCTATATATCACACTGTATCAGGTTCCTCTGGCATTGATCATGTGGAAACAGTGAACTATGTGAAGGTCTCTGAGCTTACAACCTTCCATTTCTACCCGCCCTGGGTAACTCTTAATGCTTCCATGGCACTCATGACATCTAGTGGTCAACCACAGAAGTGCAAGTGTTTAAAACTTGTTTTCAGTAAATAACTTAATTCCACCGTCTGCAACATTTTTTATTAATGTGAACATATACACACACACACAGTTAATATATATGAACAAGAAATCAAGTAATTTTCAAATACATTTCCTCTATATTTGAGTAAGTGTTCAAGAATATGAAAACTTGTAATTAACTGTCATCATAAACTAGTTTAATAATTATGTTCCCAATCTATCATTTCAGAAGAATAAATCCAACTGTAGATTATTTCACCAGATACACCTACTCAAAAGTTACATTTTCAAAACCTAATAGAGCAATAAAATAACATAAACAAATAAATAAATCTATCACATATTTTTTTTAAATAAATCTATCACAGATTTCTGTAAAAACTCAATCTGAAAGACTCATTAGTTCTATTAGCCACTGTAAGAAGCAGACTTATATCTGTTAACATTATTTGGACCCTCTTAAATTATAACTGTAAGAATAAAAGGAGGCAACATACACTAAGTGGCAGACATCTGCTTATATAAAATGGTACTTGTACCTTTTATACCAGTCATTCTCAAAGTGTGGTCCACAGACCCCTAGTGGTCTCCAGGACCCTTTCAGAGGGGTCCATGAGGTCAAACTATTTTCATAAAATTGCTGAAGAAAATACTGAGATGTTATTTGTCTTTTGCACTGTACCAGCATTTGCACCAATAGTGAAAAGCAATGGTCACGGTTGGTAAAACCACTGGCACCTGAGCATGCGTCAAGATAATGGCACCAAATTGAAACTATTCAACATTGTATTCTTTGTTGCCAAGGATGCTCATTCAGAGGAGGAGGAGGAAGAGGAAGAAAAACAGGAAGAGGAGGAGGGGAGAGGGAAGGTTCACTATAGAATATCCTTAATGAAGCAGTAAAAATTAATATTAATTGACTCTTGAGTACTCTTCTTTTTAACATCCTGTGTGAATAATGGGAAGCACACATAAAGTAATTGCTGCTATAAACAAAGGAAACACTGTCTCAAAAAAACACTTGTGTAATGATTTGAGTTGTGAACTATACTGGCTGCTCTGATCATGGAACTTTTTTTTTTTTTAACTTAAAAGAACTACTGAAGACAAACTATGGTTATTCAAGCTTCGGTATTTGATAAACATTTTCTTGAAGATAAATAGAGTCCATACTTTCAAGGGAAACCAAAAACAGTATGTGTTGCTAATGATAAAAATGAGCTTCCAAGCAAAAATCAGAATTTTATAAAACTTGCATCCAGTAGAGGCTCATTTTGCATAGTGCTATGTAAACTGAAACACATGCATGGTGGAACCAAGTTCCCACTTTGCACTGGTTCTGTCAGCTTCCCAATGCCCAAAGGCTTTGCTGAGAAGACCCATGGTGACATTAACAAATGTGATTTTTTTGGCATTTTGTATCAACATTGGGAAGATCTGCATGATTCGGTGAACTAATATTTTCCCATTTTCTACTAACACATTAGAAAATTATGCATGAACAACATCCATTCAAAGCTCAAGATTGATCAATGGATTTAAAGTTCCAATACAATAACTTTATTTCTATATTTTCAGATTTTACACTGAAACTTATCTTTAAGAAACTACCAAATATCTTTGGTGTAACAGCAAAGAATATCCGCAGTTAACTGAATAGGCTATTAAAATACTCCTCCCTTTTCCAACTACAGATCTGTGTAAGTT